TTGGAGTCGCACTGTTCATCTACGCCATTTTGTTGTTCTCTACCGAACTTGCCGAATCTTCGGAAGAAAGGTGCGAACAACGGTTTACAGGGCAAAATGGTGTTCGATTGGAGATTAATCACGACATTTTTCAGTTCCACTGTATTTTGGAGTGAAAAATAAGATTTTCAATTGAAGATACCCTTAGAGGAGGCAGCACTGTAGCCGTATCAAATGCAGAGGGTTGAGGCCCAAAAAATAAGAAAAGGAAAAACAAATTATATTTGTAATTAAGGTTCTATTCAAATGTTTTTGAAATCCCTGGAATCATTTTTCGATGTTCCAGACTCAATTTTAATACTTTCAGAGCCCAAACGAAACCTCTACAGTCAAATTCAAGCAAATTTTAAATTTTTTAAGGGAAATTTCCTAATATTTTTTTACTTTGATTAACTCTTTGACTTCACTGAAGGCAAAGATCTTCTTTAGGTTGATTAAAGCGCCCTCTCAACAGTTTAGCAGAAGTCTTAGCAAGGGTATTGTTACTTCTAATACGATGATAAAAGATAATTGAAGAAATGGGGAAATAATTCTTCCTTCCATGATACCAACATGGAAACTACAAGTATATATAATACTTCCAATACTATATGTTAAACTACCTGAACTAAACTCAGCTATTTGAATTGGCTTATAATTAACAAAAGCATCTTAGATCCTGAATCAATATAAATTTGAATATTTATCAAAAACGAATGGATGAATATGATTTCATATTCTTAATGAAAATTCTACTGAACTAGTAAGAATCCAAAAATCCTCAACTATCAGTTTCAGATAGGTTAAATTACTAGAAAACTTAAGACAGTATTAATAGCAGTAAACCTTACCAACTGCCTCCCATGGCTGATGTTCTTCCCTCAAATTCAGCCAGCCATCACTCACCAGTGTTGTTCTTGCGAATGCTGGTAATCTTGTTTGTTTCTGTGGTTTTATAAGCTAATTAAAGCTGATATGCTTGCAATATTTTTCATAAGGAAATGTGATTATACTGAAATTAAAGGGCTTTTTTTAATAGTATGACTAAATAAGCAAGGGTTATGTGGTGGAGTATAAACTTGAGGCCTCTCATGGCTGCCACTGGCTCCTTTTGAGTATAGGAAGCTGACAAAGTGACAGGTGTTTTATTCTAAAGGAATTTATTTTTGATGAGTGGTTAGTAAGAAATATAGAGATTCTTGTCATTTACTGCTTTCCAGCAAAAGAAAACACCTGCAAGCAATGGAAGAACGATACATTAGAAGTTCAACGACCTGAAGATGCTCCATCTTTCCTTGCTAGCTCATGTGGACATGCCTACCACACTAAGGTTGAAAGTAACATTCAAAGCTATCAACAGTTGCTCAGTTGATAATATCTATATCAAAATTGTTGGGAAGTAAATCAAGAAGAAAACCAGAAAGAAAACTAATTAAAATGTAATGAAGAGGAAAGAACACTGGGATTTAACGTGAAAAAAGTTGAAATCAGCAAAAAATCATGGAGTCACATCACACCAAGTAATCTACTATGAAAAATAAGAGAAATTGTACAAATCTTCACTCTCTTTCTTCATTACTTCACTCTCACGTCCAATACCTTTAGAAGAGAATACAAGTTTCTCTCAAGTTACACACAATCAAAATGAATAAAACTCTTAAAAACGAAGGAAAACTAACTCAACCGACATGCGGTGCATCGACACTGAATGCTCTGTCTCGCAACGTCGTGGAGCTAAACTACAACAATGTGATGCTGAGTTCACAGAGCTATGGTGCTATGCTCTGTATCTCAAACAAGTTTCACAACATCACGGCACTATATGATCAACCAAAATAAAAAAAAAAATCCATATGCTTCACCCCCAAACCCTTGAGAGCAAGGATCGTATTTCCCACCTGCAACCCCCAACGAGCTTCTCTTCGAGTTCGACCAACAGAATTAATATCAGAGTCAACGGCATATTCCAAACAAAATCAACAAAACTTACCTGTATCAGTTAGTTGTCATGATCATTATCTATAAAATCATGATCATTATCTATTAAACAAAAAAAAAATCATGCAGAAGTTTGGCCTTAACTATAAACAAATTTATATTTAGGTAAATAATGATATGAATTTTCACAAATATAACATTCAATTATCAAAATGATCTTAACTGAAATATCATCCATCATTTATGCTTAATTTAAAGTTTGTGATTATGTCTTCGACTATAATGCCAAAAATCATATAGGTAATGTCAACTTTGATTATTTTCTTAGTTTGTTGGGAGCAGTTTAAAGGCAATGTCCTGCCTACTGATTTATCTTTTGCGATAGATAACTATCACAAAAACATTTTATGCTTTAGATTTGGGACCATAGGTCTGTTTTTTTTTTAACCATATTGCAGTGGGTGTAGAGCAACTGATTTATGATGGATTATTTAACAGTCATAGATTTCATTTATGACAAAGCATATGAGGACCAACATTAATGCCTCTGGCTTACATTTCATTTGGGATAGTTTTAGGGTTTACTTTTTTTTTTTAATTATGCACTAAAAAGTTACTTTGAGAAGCAGTAGAAAAACTATCTCTAACTAAGGCTTCATTTTGGACGGCTTTTTTAATGCTTATTGAAGCAATTTTTTAGTACAAAATTAAAATTTATGTACTAGAAAGCTGCTTCAAGAAACAGTAAAAAAGTTGTCCCAAATAAAGGCTAAATCTTTGACTTCATTTGGGATAATTTTTTTAATATTTTCCAAAACAATTTTCTAATACAAAAATTTTGAAAAAATATTAGTTAAAAGTTGTTCCAAATGAGACCGTAGTGATCACACGGCAAGAAAAGAAATAATTTTGCAATCAAACTTTTGGTTGCAAAAGTATTGCATCTCTTTAGAGATAAAATATTTTCATTCATTTTGAGAATGATTTGAGGACCAACATTGCCTCTGGGCCTCTTACATTTTATTTGGAATAACTTTTTGTCATGATTTTTTTTGTTATTTTAAAAAAATCTATGTACTAATAGAAAAATTATCTCTAACTAAATCTTTGGCTTTGTTTGAATTAATTTTTTTAATGCGTTCTAAGGTAATTTTCTAATGCAAAAATTTCTTAAAAATGATGAAAAAAATTGGTTAAAAGTTGTTCCAAATGAGACCGTTGTGATCACACGACAAGAAAAGAAATAATTTTTCAATCAAACTTTTGGTTGCAAAAGTATTGCTTTTCTTTGGAGATAAAATATTTTCATTCATTTTGAGAATGATGTGTCTTATATAACTAAACTTATTAATGAAAATATTTTTAGTAAAATAAAAAAAGAATCAAAATTAATAAAATAAAATTATACAATTCCAAGCATGATCTTTCGAATTGTCCTATTTTTCATTTGATTTTTTTCACAAATAACATGCACTATTTGTCTTTGAAAATATAATAACGTAGCATAATTTTTATGTGGGCTGGGAAATTCGCGGTAGTAAAGTGAAAAGATTTTATGTCTTTACAATGTAAGAAAATTCGGTACAAAACAAATGTTAAAGAAGCATAAGGATTTTTACATGAAAAAATCTAAAAAGAGAAAAAAATAATGAGGTCTTGCCCAGTTGAAATGATTTAACTAATATTTGAATAGATCACAAAAGTCGACCCATCCCTTAACTCCAGGACAATGAGAATGCAATATAGTAGAGAATATGACAAACTTCAAATGAATACTCTTAATATAGATCGAATTACATATAGTAAAATTTTGGCAATAACAGTAGGGAGAATATTCGACAGAGGATTGGTGATGGTTTTTGATTCGCTGATTGTTAGTGAATAGAAGGTAGTCTGGTGATGGTTGGTGGTCAGGAAGACATCCGGCAACTGTTGATGAACAGGTAGGAGTCCGACGACAATTCATGATAAGGAAGAAATCTGACGGTTGTTGGTGAACAGACAAAAGTCCGACGATGGTTGGTAGTCGGGAAGAAATCCGACGGCTGTTGGTGAACAGGTGAAAGTCAAGCTAAGGTCAGTAGTTGGGAAGAAATGCGGCGACTGTCGGTGGCAAGAGAGCTCCCAAGTCTTTTTTTCTTCCTCGTTCCCTCATTCCTAGCAAATATAGAGAAAATCTAGGGTTAGTTTAGAGTGTTCTTTTCGGGCGGCTCATAGTGATCCATTTGATTATAGTGCCTCGGAGATGTTAGAATTTAGTGATCTTGGGCTCGCTAGATTCATCTCGTCGAGCCGCTCGATTCAATTATAAGCATGTTATATTTGGATATCATCTAATCATCCAATTATTGCTTTGAAGCTCATTTGAGCTCAGATTGGATTGAATTTGTTATAATAGGATTTGTCTCCCAGAAATGTTCAATTTGAGTAGAAGTTTGCTGAAATCAAAGTTTGAATGATCCCCAATTTAAAATTTTAAACTTCCGACTCATATTTACGTTTAGATTCGTGCCCGATCAAGATGATTGTAGATTTTTGGTGACTTGCCAATTTTATTGTGATTTGTTTTTTTTTTTTTTAGAACTTTAACAAGAATAAATAATACTTTTGTCCAATAAATGCTATCAACAGAGGATTAAGATGGAAGGATAGCATATTGACCCAGTGAACTGACAAACTTGTGTGTATGCTAAGCATTCTCTTTAGAGACTTTTTTTTAGCTCTAATTGAGTGGCCACAAAGCTAAGATGCTACATTACTTTTTGCTTTTTCTTGCTCCATGCATGCTCTTCATGATTTTTCCTTTTTTTTTTTTTTTTTTTTTTTTTTTTTTTTTTTTTTTTTTTTTTTTTTTTTTTACTTTTAGTTAGCTTTGATCAGAATCTGATGCTTATTAATTTATTAATATTATAATATCTTCATATATTTTATATCAAAATTTACTAACTTTTTTTTGGCTTCAAAATGGACTTCAAAGTCCTTAAATTTGTGCTAAAAGTAGTACTACATATAATATTCAAAGATTGCACTAATCTCAACTTAAAATCTAAGAATTTTGAATCTCATATTGACACAAAACATATCAGCTATTCTTACTCAATATTTTTTATTAATTAATTATGCATCGGCACAGTTAACCTTCAGACGTTAATCGGCTAAATGTTTGATTATGCTTCTAAGATTTTTCCTAAAGATTATTATCAATATCATAATTTAAATGAAAAAAAAAAAATGTAGCCTTTATTTATATGAGAAATTATTTTGTGTGGAAACCGGATATAGCTTTGTGTCCAGAGACGAATCAGAATGTGCCACGTAGCGCAGTACACAGCGGGTACACAGCCGCGGTACACAACAATGAGGTGATATGGCATGCTCTGATTTACCTCCAGACGACGTCCGGTATTCATATAGAATAATTAATCCTTTTATATACATGAAAGTTCATGAGATTGTGAGATATATGAATTTTCTTAATAGTCTAGCAAGAAGGATCAATTGCTAATTTCTTTATGTGGGGATTCTTTAGTTGATGTGATTGTCATTGTCAAGCATTTGTTTAAGATAGTGATTTCAATTCCTAATCACAAATTTATAGTGTTGAGAGGATGAGATTGATAGGATAAAGTAATTAAAGTTTTATTTAGGATAATTTTTTATCAACATTTTTTTACTGTTCTAAAAAAAATTATACTAAAAATTTACTGTAAAAAATAATAAAAAAAAATTTCCCAACCAAAATCTAAATAGGAGAGAGATACACATGTATAACACTAATAAAATGAACAAAAAATATTTTATATGTAATGAGTTTTGAATGCATTGTAATTTTATAAAACAAAAACAATATAAAATTTTAAAATATTTATAATACACTATCTCGTATAAATTTAGTGTATTTAAAATTCGTCGCATTTGAATGATTTTAATTACATAATAAATTCATTATCATTATCACCAATTCTCAACTACCACCACCTCCATTGCCCATTGTCAATCACTACCATCATTATCAACCACTAAAATTAAATATCATACATAATATTAATCTATAATAATTTTAAAATTCAACAAATATACTTTACAATAAAATATTCTGACATTTTTTTTCAAATATTTGCTATTTAAATAGTTTAAAAAAAATTTATAAAAATCTACAGTTCTAAAAATCTGAGCTCGAATCTTACAACATTAAATTTGGCACTCATTCAACACAGAAGAAAGCTTAAATTTATAATGTAAAAGGGAAAATCAGCAAAATACAAATATTTCACAAATCCAAGGCCAGAAACGAATAGCTTCAGCTCTGTTAATGAGGATATGGGGATGAATTCTCTCATAGATTGATTACATCAATAATCCCCCAACAGAATTGCAATCTCTTCTTCCCATCCGAATCACAACACTGCCTAAAGAACTGCCCAAATACTCCACATCCTCTTTGGTTATGTACATTAGAGCGTAGGATTTGAAGTCGAAATCTGCATCAAATGAACAACACGGTCAATATGTTTTTTACAACAAAATGGCCAATCCTAACTGAGAATCTTATAAAGAAACATTATTTCTCTACTGCGACATCACTAGGAGAAACTATTCTGCGTAGAGTCTAGACGAAAAAAAAACCGTATGCACATATAAGTATACACACTGTGTAACAATGTATCAAATTTGTATACATTATTTGTCCATAGTGTATACACTCACATGTACGAATGATTACTCCCGTCTGAACTCTGCACAGAATAATTTTTCCATCACTAATGCAGGAAAAAATTTATTTACTATGGTCCAACATCTTTGCTAGTGCTTTAGTATTTTTCAATCTTAAAGGTTCACATAATCCCAAAGATGTAAACACACCTCATATACTAAATAAGAGATCCGAGCATGAAAGCATTTAAGCGTGTCAATAAATGACCCGATTCATCAATCCAATCCCAAAAACCAAATCTAGATTAGCCCATTTAAACGACCCGACCCGCCAACCAAAACTTCTTTCTACAAATCTATTATGTATTGCCAAAAAATATCCTATGCTTGATGCAAACATTCTAATTGCACTTGAGCTAAGTATCCTCATTAAAGATGTTGGGAGAAATTCAATTATCCTTACACTCTGGCGCCTAGTCGTACAAATCAGTTACTATTTTTCAAAAGGATTACGTTTATTTACTTTAATAATCATAAACATATATTACGTTTATTTACTCACCAATCTCCAAGTCTAACTATCATATTTGGATAAAGCACCATCTATTTTCTCTACCACTATGAATATTTAGTTCTGTTCTGTTCATGCCTTCGTTCATCAATGAAATTCTGTCATTTAATAATATATTTCCTGTGTATTATAAAACACAACATTTTAAAAATTTGATTCATATTTGATGGTTACATACTTCAACTGATAATGACTTATAATGAGATAACTCTCCATCTCTCTCTTCCTCCATAAACCCATCTTCATCTCTTGTAACTCTACCTCTAGAAGCTTCTCTTCATATATCCACCCCACTACAAGATATGCTACAAATAGATGTGAATAGTGTTTTCTTTATAATAATCTTTACTAGATTTCATTTGTATGGAAAAACATATTCTGTATAATATTTAGGGTAGAAATCATATCCATAGTCTCAAACAGAAGTCCAAGTGACTGGTTCTTAGCCAAGCATATGTAAAATAAAATGATTATGAAACTATTATGCAAATACCAAGGTATATCAAAAAATTCATTTGAAATAATTGGCATACATTAAAATTGAACATTCCAATTTTGAAGCATTATTTGATGTTGATAATGATGGATTTGTTGAGATGGATAATCTGCTTCAAGATATTAGATTTTTTTTTTTAGAATTAACCTAGTCACCTAAAAAAAATAAGAAAGAAATTGTGTTGGTTGGCCAAGTCCTTTGTTGAGGCTAAATATAAAGCTATGACTCACTCAACATGCTAAATGATATGAGAGAAAAACTCTTTCAGTGGTTCACTGGTGCTTATAAATAAAGCCCTGAAACTACACTTGTAATAAGTTTCTTAATTAAAATAATCTTAAAGGAGTGTAATCTTTGTCGTTATCATCATGGAGGGAGGAATCAAGTCATGATATATGAATACAAATTTATAACAAGTAAATTTTGTCTTTGGCACTTTCAAAGTTTGAGTATAGTTTTGTAGTGTACAATAATCATCTTATAATTATTATACAAATATGTTATATTTCTAATCACTTATCCTTCTATTTTGATAATTTATCTAGCACTCGACATGAATTTACCTCAGGAGCTCCTCACTCTTTTTTTGGATGAAAAGTAAGACCTAGAGAGAGAAATGATAATAAGTCAACTAGAAATCCTTCCTACTTTGAGAATCAAGTAGAACTGCCCCGTTGACCAATTGCAATTATGCTCCAACAGAATATGGGTCATAAACTCTAACATAAATCATTCAAATAACTTTAAAAGGTGATTAAGAATTTTGCAGACTTGATCTCTAGTTTATAAAAAACTTAGTTTAGCATGCTAAGCATAATCTTGAAGCACATGAAATGCACAATAACAGAAATCTTTTAGCACAAGAACAACAAACTGCGTGACAAAAAAAAAAAACTAAAAGACAAAGAAAAAGAGGATTACTATACGAGCTGCTACTGGTCATACATGCTTGTATAAAGTTTATCTATGCCGGGAAAAGAAAGGAATAAGAGGGATCAAGCTAGAAATGACATGCCAATGATCAAATTTGTTTTCAACATAAAAACTCAAATACTTAACAAACAATATATTTTGCAACTATTGAATATGGAACTAAATTCAATATTCTTGCATGACTTAGGCTTCGTTTGGGATGGCTTTCTTACCACTACTTAAAGCAACTTTTTAGTACAAAAATTTTAATTTTTATAGTAGAAAGTTGCTTTAAGAAGCATTAAAAAACCGTCCCAAACAAAGCCTTAACAATCTTCCCTCATATAAGAGTTATCCTCAACCACATGATGAAATTGTTGTGGGAGTCACCCACTTTTGAACATTGCATGATCATAGTAGAAGAGGCTAGGATTCATGTGAACCACAAGCCACATGAACCATTTGATCATAGCTAACCCATCAACAATGATACTTGTTGTTAGAGTGTGTGAACCAAAGAACAAACAAAGTTGGGCTAGATAAATCAGTGTTCAGTGGCCAAACTCTTTTCCAACTTAAAAAACTTAAGCATATGGGAAAAGGTCAATCACCAAGTATCTCAACTCTAAAATATTTTGGAAGATTTACTCGCATGCCAACAAATCTACCTTATTTTCTAAACATTAACACATCCAAAAAAGTAAGAACTAGCAAATATATGCATTTGCCATGTGCCATGACCAAACCATTGAGAATTTGACTAAAACAAAATTAAGAGTTGGTTTTTTCTATGAACTTCAATATTTAGGTGAAAATTCTATGAATGGAGATAAGATAATGTTAGTTTTGCAACATTAGAGGGATGCATGAAATTATCCCAAATATTTTTCAATATTCTATTACTTACTAACAGTGACCAAACATAAGATTAACACAATTTCCTATTAAGATAAACACAATTTGCATTCTCATTAGAAGATAACCACATTTTATAAAACTTAAATTCACACCTTTAATAAAGCAGTCGCATATGTTAAACTTAAGCGCGTCCAAACAAAGAAATAAGTATTTACCGCAAAAAGAAATTATTAAAAATTATTTCAGGATGATTACTCCATTCCCATGACCACAACTTTATAATAATCATACACAGCAAAAAGGTGGTCCTATACTCCTATTCCATTCCAGCCACACAATTATAGTTTATTTAATCCAACTTGTGGCAGACGGTCAAGAGCAAACGGCTGATATTAGATTGTAATATCACCATTCAAAATTATACTTTTGTTAAAAGAAGATGAGAAATAACCACAAGAAAGTGATAGAGATATAAACTCGTAATCTCTCTATCCAATTATTTAAAACCTAATCAATATTTTTTGCGCAACTAAACAAGACGCTAACCATTTTAAAATAGATCAGGTCAATTCATTGAACTACACGCAAAACAATAAATAGACAAAAATGATCTCATTGTCTCTATCTTTTTCCATCCTAAACTATAACGAGCAATTGTGGACCACTCATCCCCGTTTGCTGCACCTGACTCGGTCCGTTCATTGAATCGCACTCAAAAGAATTAACGGACAAAAATGGTCATTCTTTCTCCTAGCCCATTGAGAGAGGAGAGAGAGTGTGGAGTGATTGGTAAATAGCTGTGTTAGCCATTAACGACGGCGACATACAGAGAGCAAAAAAGGCAAAAACCAAAAAATGGATAACATATTGCAGAGGGAAAAATTGCCTACTGTGCTTCCAACTTAAATTTAGTTTAAATGAAAGATAAATGATTAAATAAATAAATCTTTATAAAAAATACAATATATTTTATATATCCATTAAAATGATATTCAAACTCATTTTTTATCCGATTATAATTATAGAGAATATTTCTTAATAGGTTGGCCGCTTATAAAAAGTTAAAATTTTCTGTCTAGTTCTCTCGTGCGACTAACCTTTATTTATTTTTTTAGTTATGAGTGGTGTTTCGTAGCATTTCTGCCATATTATCGTAAGAGCTCAAGCAATTATTTTCATAATTTGATACAAATGTATATACACGCCGCCAGTCGAAGAAATTTAATAAGAATATGGCTTACCACAAACTAAAATAAGTTTACTTTTTTCTTAAGAAAGAAATAATGGTTCGAGATTTTCGGAACTCACCTTAGTTCGGAGGGCTGCGAGAAGCTGAAGACGCTAGATCAAAGGTGGAATGAAAAACGTGTGTAGAGATATGGTTGCAAGCGCCAGCCCTAGCAACAGATGACGAATTAACCTGGCAAAGAAGGGATCCACGGCGGTCCTTCTCAGTAGATCTAGCCAGCGGTGTCGCAGCGGCCGCTAGATGACTCCGGTGGGAATTGGAGCAAGTGAGATCAAGCTGTATATTAGGCATATCCCATGAACCCCCAAATTAGACAAAAGCATTTCCAGTAACTAATAATAAAAAACAGAGGAAGTGTAAAATTTGTCCTCTCTCTACCTGGGAGGCGAGATCCGCATTCCCCCTCATCTGATTGAAGAGAACAGCCCCGGCCCTACCAGTCCATGAGGATTCCTCCCCGCTTGACGAGCTCGCCGGCGGCGGCGAAGTCTGCGTCCACGGAACCACCTGGTTCTCCCCTTCCTCCTCCTCCTCCTCCTCCTCCTCTGAATCACTAACCTCGTCCTCATAATCGTCCTCTTCGTCCTCCTCCATCATTTCCCCTCCTCCCTCCGCTTCTCCCTCCATCTCCTCGCCCTCCACTGCCGATGAAGCTTTCCCACCAGCCATGCAGCTCTCGCAGACGGAGAAGGTGGGACTAAGCCGCGCCCCCGCAGCTCGCCAAGGCGTCTGAGCCTGGCAGCTCCGGCAAAGAAGCACGCGCGGGTGCCTTGCTACGAGAAAATTGGCCCCATGAACCTTAGCGTCGCACTCCCAACACAAACTTGCCTGATCTGATTCGCAATACATCCTCGCTGCCCGATCGCAGAGCTCACAACCCTTCATCTCTCCGTACTTCCTTATTCAGATCTCCCTCTCCTTCTCTATCGGTTGCGTCAAATTGGTTAAATGGAAAAGAAGCAACAGAAGAAAAAAAAATCAGATCAATTTGCCACCGTTAATATCCCCTCACCCATCGGCTTCGCCTTTTAAAAGACGGTTATAGCCTTCTACCCCTAGATTCACGCTCGCCGTTCACCGGTTCAGATAGAAGGGAGGTAAGAATACCCGTGGATTGGGGATGCAGGGTAAAATCGTAAAAGGAAATATTTGCACCTGTGAACTAGCCGGCTGAGCGCGCTTCGCGCTCCACTCACCGAAACCCATTACTCACCTACATTGGCCAGCTGTTGCCCGTCTAGGGCTGGGCACGGTAAAAGATCCTATGCATTACATACACGCATAATAAAAACAAAACACTAACAACTTAAGCCTTTGGATTTGCTTTGATCTTCATACGGCGGAACGATGCTTCGTCGGAAACATGTGGTGGCTGTGGCTCTAAGGGGATATTAATCAAATTCTGATGTCAATTTCTTTGTAACAAATGGGAATTCTAGGAGGGAGGTGAACCAAATATCTTTCTTCGGGCAACAACTAACGTGTACGTACATGTGAACGGGATTCTTAGGTATGACGTGGCAAGATCTCGACCACGCGATCCGCTTATTCACGTGAATTCCACCTGACGAACGCAGCTTCGACGAAATCGACAGAACTGCTTCCACTACTGTGGCTCCATATCTTGTTGTTGTCAAGTCCAGCCAATTTGCCAAAAATATTATAATAATATAAATATGTTGTAATATCTTACAAGGAATGATAAAAAAAAAAGGCAAATAAAAGTTTTTTTTTTTAATTTGAGACAATTAAGTCAAATTCATAGGCATAACATATAACACATAATAAATATTGAATCTAAATCTCTTATTTGATAGTCAGAGCTCCTAACTAATAAATCAGATTGCTCTTTAGAAAAGAAAAGGGATATCATCATCATCCGAGAGAAGGTAACAAATTTGTTCATATTGCAAAGCAAAAAGAGGGGTGAAGAGAAGTAGTCTTCTGGTCAACCAAAAGAGACATTATCCAACAAAAAACATCTTCAATTTGAAGACTAGATATTTAAATCTTCTAAGGAAAAGTCGTATTATTCCAAGATATAGTACTGGGTTTATTTTACATTAATGTCATTATTGACAAACAAACCTGATATGCGAACTATCTTATGCATATGCCGGTTCACTATTCCTCTCAATCTGCTCCACTACATCTGCTTTGAATTAGTAATGTTCACCCCTCTACCGTAGGATCTCTGTTGTTGTAATCAGTAGCTTTAATCTCTATCTACATAATCAATATATACACATATTGTATTTATCTAGAGATTGATTTTTGGAGATGACGAAATGCATACAGTAGCTAGAGCTTATCTACCTAATCTCTCTATTATGCTTGTATGAGTTCTATGACTCACAAGTAAACTTCTTCATGGTATCAAAGCAGTATGTTAAAATGTTCAATGGCTACTTCTTCTACAACATCTCCTATGGACTTGTCCGACTCCACTCTTCCTTCTACTGCTATTTCTATTCCACCTCAACTTAATTTCTTCATGTCTAATGTAAAGATAATGGTTACAGTTCAGTTAACCTCTGATAATCATCTGATTTAGAAATCTCAACTCCTTAAATTGTTCACTGTAAACGGCTTTGAGGGTTATCTCATTGGCTAGCTCCATTATAAAATCATCCAAAAAGTTGTGTCTACTGATGGTATTATTGTGATAGGTCATATTTATGCGTTGGTCCAAAACCAAGTTACGGCTGAGCAGAATGCATGACTCCAACTAGAATAACTTGAAGGCCTTTAAGAGATTCATCTCCAAGCTCAGCAAAGTCTAGAGTTGAACAAAGCCCAAATGGTTTAAGCTCACAATAAGTTAGTACGACCTAAAACCTTCCAAGTAAGAGACTTGATCTTGATTCTTCGGAGGCTTATCTTAGCTCACCGAAAGATTGGTAGGAAGCTTGAACATATATGAGAAGGACCCTTCGTCATAGAAATAATCTACGAAGGGGTCTCGTATTAGCTAGTTAATTGTAAAGGAAGTCACCCAATGTTATCTGTCAATGAGCGTTTTCTTAAGAAATATTATATCTCTGCTATTGTAATCAGCAGCCTTAATCTCTAACTACCTACTCAATATATACACATATTATATTTATTTAAAGACTGGCTTTTGGAGATGAAGAAATGAATACAATAGCTAGAGCTTATTCGTCTAATCTCTCAATTTTGCTTGTATGAGTTCTGTTACTCGCATGTCAACTTCTTCAATTATTATGTTTAAATATGGAGGTTGAGGTGGAGATTTTATTCATGATACTTTTGTGAAGCATAATAAATATAAATCAATTGTCCAAGTGATTCCAAATGGTTGAGTGAATAAATTGAAGCATGCCCACAAATGAAAGAAACTAAACCTTCCATCCCCAAAACAATTAGGTAAGCTTACATAAAATTTTCATGTAAGCATTTGCTTTAATTCAAGAGGATGAAATAGTATCCCAAGATAACCATGGGCTAGGGATTATAAAAAAAAGCTAGTAATATAACTTGCCTATTTTTGTCCAATAATATCTCAAACATTCATGAATACTTTTGAGATGACCAATTAGTTATAGGGCATTTGTCATTCCTAGTGGATAAAAAACACATTTATGCTATATTTGGGATTTTTGTTTATTGTTTTGTATTAGGAAATGTTATAACATGAACTGTTCAGTCCAAGATTTACGTTAATCGATTTTCCTCTCCCACTCCATTTCATGAACCACGATCAAAAGCCAATCTGATCCTTTTGCATGTAGTCACAACTCGTGAGAAGCAGCTGATTCCTACTCCCTCTTCGCACACGAGCAGATCGTCATCGAATGCCCCCTTCACATGCGAGCTCATCTCTTTCACACACGAGCAAATCGAGTGGCTTTTGAGCCGTAATTTTCTCTCTACAATCACTAAAATCATGTTATTTATCCCACATTATTTGATTTCACTCACCTATGGCATCACTCTCAAGTAATTTAAACCTAATAGGAGACCCAAGGTATCAAATTCTCTTCCTTATTGCAGTAACCACCAAACCTCTTCCCTATACTTCATTTTCATTTCTCTCTTGTGAACATCAGTCGTTGTTAGCAAAGAAGACCTCTCCATCTTCAATCTCTTTGAGCAAGGTGGAGTCTTCCTTCTTTCTCTTGGATTAAAGTTGGGTCTTCCTCCATCTTTTTCTGCTGATCGAGATCATTCATCAAAAGTAAGTTTTTATTTTTATTATGGATTTATAAATTTGATTGTTGGAATTAGATCTTAATTGAATATACTTTCTAGCATTCATATATTTTTTGATGGTTCTTCTTATAATTGTAAGCTCTCATTCTAGATTAGAATTTAATTCATAATTTATGAAATCTATGTCATTTTGGATGCTTTCAACTTAATCGCTTTTGGCTTGAATCATTTAGCTTGATTAATAATATTCAATTTAAGCTCAGTTTGTATTAGCTTTATGTTTTTTATTATGTGTTCTTTTTGTGTTATCCACTTATTCTAAATATTAAATTGTGATTTTTCATTTTTTTGGACTTTAAAGTTTTTATCCTCGAGGCTATGGGTGTCAATTTCGGGTCACGGGTCGGGTTCGGGTCGGACCCGGAACTGACCCGGGTTCAAACGGGTTGACCCTAACAGGTTAGGTAAACCAGGTCGAAATTCCGAACCCGGACTCGACCCGGCGGGTTTCACGGGTGACCCGACCCGAACCGGTGAGTGGGTTTCGTGCGCGGAGCTGGGCAGGGTCACGACGCGGAGCGAGGTCGCGCTCGGCGTGGGGTTCGCTGCGCGCGATTGGTCGCGCTCGAGCAGAACGTTGGTGAGCGGGGACGTGCAAGGTTCGCTACGCGGATTAAACAGGGGTCCTGCTCGCCGAGGTTCGGCTCGCGCTGCATGCGCAGTTAGCGGTGTCACGCGACGACGGCAGCGGGGATTGGCAATGTCGCCGACGTCGCAAGCAGCAGCGGGGCGTGGTCGGCCTTTTTTTCGCGCGACGGCGAAGGCGGAGTACGTCGGGTCGGTCTGCGTTTAATGTTAAATGGGGTTACAGGGTTACCCGACAAACCCGTTCGGGTCAACCCCGAACCACCCATTTTATCAAACCGGTGCGATATTCTTGGAACCCGATACCTGACCATCTTATGAAATGGGTCGGGTCTTATGTGAGACCTCGTTCCCTACTGTTCCTCCTCTGATTTGGATTTTCGTCAGGATCTGTCCAGGACGACTTTTTGAGTTATCGTTCCATGGCGATCGCACTGTAGAAATATGTCTGAGAATAGTTCTGAGGGTTCCGTTCCAGGACATCGATTTTGGTCTGATCGTCCGGGTCATGATGTGGCGATCGGCCGTACCGATCCGCACTAATGATATAAGATAAAATCAGGCATCGTTTTGATAGAGAGAAAAAATTACATTTTAAAAACAAAATATATCTATTTTAGAGAGAGAAAGAGAAAGGGAAAAGAGAAACACTGGTTTTGGAGGCGCCGGAGCGCTTTTTTCGTTCCGACGTCTTATTTGGGAAAAGTGAAGTAATCTCATTGGTAAGGACTCCGAACCCTATTTCTGTTTTTTCAAAGAATATTGAGTTTGACCGAGTTTGGTATCTGTTTTGTGTGTTTCGTAGTCGACGTTCGTACTGATTTTGATTGACACAACTTTGCACACGCACAACTACTTCAGTATGTTACTAGATATGTGATTATTGTACACGATTTGACTAATACTCTGCAAAAGATTATTACCGGGTCGGAATTGATTCTACGCTGATTTTAATCGGAGTATAATCAGGACTTGACTTGTGATTTGATTCTATAGAATAATAGTACGTTGTATTGATGTCATAGATATTTCTACTGTAATTTGTGAATTGGAATTTGTGACGCTTTATGCAGGATTTTTGTGATAATTTGACCGTAACTTGCCGTTACTACTGACCCCGATTTTCGTACGATTTGGATTTGTCCCGTGAGATTGAGTAGATTGT